AGATTTGAAATACAAGGAAATTGTAGATGCATCACAGTAGCCCTAAAAAGGCTGGTGGCTTCTACAAGAGGATAATGCCTTTATACCCACAAAAGGTGAGAACCCTTTCAGAACGTTTCTCCAGAAGTCTGGATGCTTTTCCCCTCTTGTGTTCCCCAATTGCATGAAATTGCGTGACAGAGACAGTGATGTACCCACCACCTCACCACAGGAGCATCCCAGGTTGTCTTCAGGGTTTAGGCTGACCAGTGGGCACTGAGTGGGCTCACTTTGTTCAGCGGGGTGCACCGGTGTGTAGTAGGGCTGCTGCAATACGTGATTCATGCTGCCGTGAGTTCCATTGTTGCTGGAAGGAGAAACCTCGAGGACATCTGCATTAAACAAACTTGAATTTATTTTTGTGCCCCTGATGACGGCTGTTTGTCGAGTACCAGATGTTTGTATTTAGTCAGTCTGTTCTCCTTGTCAGGGCAACAAATATTCAAATCTCAACAAAGCTGCTCTCACGTCATATTTACAGACAAGGCCACATGTTTTATTCCCACATGCATTCCTTAATCAATGGTGTTGTGAGGCGCTGTGGTTTAACCCAAACCACAATCTTTTCCTAACCCTAATAATGTTAAAGGGTTAAACCTAACCTGGGCGTGAAAGTGACACTGGAAAACACACTGAAGCATGGTGCACAACACACTTCTGACTGGGACTACTGGGACTGATGTTGTTACCACCTGTTCAACATCCAAACACACTTATTATCCTGTCTCTCAGACGCCAATATGCCTGTGGCCAAAGGATCAGTGTCTGCCGTGTAACCGTTAAATTACAAGCATCAACATTTAGCTGTTGGGCTACTGGATGTTAACTGGCACTAATTAATAACTCTTCACTTGATTGATGCTTTTAAAGATTCCATACGGGAGACTTTGAATATTACCAGAGCAGCAGATGTGTTGTCATTCAAATTCCTGTTGAATTACTATAATCATTATCTTTATTTATATCTTTAATTAGAGGATTAAAGATACAATTTTCTTACAGTAACAAAAAAAAAATCACCAAAGAAACTAATACACAGAAAAACATAATACTGTGTGTTAACTGCACTAAATCAGCTAAATGTAAGAATTCATAGCCCTGTAGTTCAAAATGAATGAATGAATAACAGCAAGCTGAACAAGGTCCCAATCTGCATGATCTTTTGTTCCCTGCACATTCAGGAGGGGGGGTGACTTTGTCTATGCTTATGAGCTGAATGACAATTTAGAGTGCCCCGCATTCTTGGAGTCCCTGGGTGGTGAGCTTGATGGTGCCCCACCTGGAGACCCTGTCCTCCTCCTGGGAGCCTCAATGCTCATGTAGGCTCTGATAGTGAGACCTGCAGGGATGTGATTGGGAGCCTGCTAGATGTGAACCTGAGCAGTGTCCTGTTACTGGACTTCTGTGCAAACCACAGTTTGTCCACAACAAACACCATGTTCAAACATAAGGGCGTCCATAAGCGCACGTGGCACCAGGACACCTTAGGCTGCAGGTCGATGATCGAGTTTTTAATTGTATCAACAGATCTGTGGCCACTGATGATGCTCAGGTGAAGAGAGGGGCTGAGCTGTCAACTGATTACCACCTGGTGGTGGGGGATGATGCTCGACAGATCTGGCACACCTAAAAGTATGGTGAGTAAAAGTGAGGGTGACTGGCAACACTGAGTCTGAATGGACCACGTTCAGCACCTCCATTGC